TTTCTCCCCAGCCCCAGTCTCAGCACTCAGACAGCTTTGGCCTCCATCTGCCCCAGGACATCACAGAGCTGTCCCAGCGGAGTCAGGGTACCCATTCAACACAGTCACGCGTTTGCCAGGCATACCACCCAGCCGAGGATATAACCAAAGAATGTCTGCTGGCGGGGCTAATGCCTGCAAAGCCATGCAGAGCCCAAGAGGATGACGGAGGGCCTTGCTGACAACACCAGCAACTGCCAGACGTCCTGCAGATGGGAGTGTTGGAAGAAACACTGAAGATTGGAGCAAACAGAAGCAGCTTTCTGGAATGTCCATGTCAGCACATCACTCAACCGACTTTGGCCACAGCAAAAGACACAGTATGCTTTCTGACCACCGTGGAATCAAACAGAAAACCAAGAACAGAATGATCGTAGGAAAACCTCTAATCACTTGGTTAAAAAACACACACACAAACACACACACTGCTTTAAAAATCAATGAATCAACAAATACTTCCTAAATATTTTTTTTAAGTGTCTGTCCCCAGCACTGACCTGTCACCCTACAGTAGAAAAGGGTGGTCTTGTGCAAACCGCAGTCTTCATTACCTGACATATAGCATCAGCACTAAGAGGATAAGGAATGGAGAGCAGATAGTAGGTACACAAGAGCTAAATTCCTGCGTAAAATGCACTACTAACAAACTCTGGTGGAAACAGGAATCCTAGAAACCAGTGAGGTGGTTGGAATCATGAGTGTCATGTTTAAGATTTATGGCAAGGTAAACATACAGAAAACACCTCATGGAAATGTTTCTCCTATTTTTCCTTCTAACTACACTCTGTAGGACTCTGACTGCCTAGAGTTGGAGACAGGACAGTGACATCTGTCCAGGCAGAAATGCATCATTCTTGCTATACTTCTAACACGTGTCTTGGACTTAAGCAAATATTACATCTCCTGGAAATTAACACTTAAGTTAAACTACTCACAAAATGCATGAACAGCATCGAGAATCATCTGAGATAGATAGATAGATAGATACAAATCCGAATCACTTTTCTGTACACCTCAAACACAACATTATAAATCAACAATATTTCAGTAAAAAAAAAAATGCACAAACTGGATGGCAATTGACTGGGAATGGTAATAGAAATAAATGTGCTTTATGAGTTTCTGACTAACAGGGCTCAGTGAGGACTAAGACGGATGGAAAAGACTCAAGTCTTAATAAATCCTAGTTTCCATGAATAAATTTCAGAAATTCAGGGGTGAAAAGAAAAACCTACATGTTTCCCACAAAATAAGTAGAACTCACATCAGACTTTTCAACAGCAACATGAAGAGAGAAGGGAAACAGAAAGTAGATTGCGTGCATGTGTGTGCTCAGTTGCTCATTCATGTCTGACTCTTTGAGACCCCATGATTTTGCCTGCCAGGCTCCTCTGTCCATGGGATTTTCCAAGCAAGAACACTGGAGCAGGTTGCCATTTCCTTTTCCAGGGGATCTTCCTGACCCAAGGACTGAACCCACATCTCCTGTGTCTCCTGCATTGGTAGGCAGATTCTTTACCACCGAGTCACCTGGGAAGCCCAGAAAGTTGATTACTTACTGCCTAAGCCTGAAGGGGTCATGGGAGTGGGGAATGACGGCTGTCTGCAGGGTTCTTTTTGGGGGTGATGAAAATGTTCTACAATGGACTGTGGGAATGATTGCACGACTCTGAATATACTAAAAACCACTGAAGGGTACACTTTAAATGCATGCATTCTATGATGTGTGAGTTACATCTCAATAAAGCTGCTGAAAAAAAAATGTGCTTTTGTTAATGGGTCTTCCTGAGGATGATGGGGTTGGAAATGAAACATAGGGACTTTCATGGTCCTTTGGCTAAGACTCCAATCTTCTAAGCCAAGGGGGTGTGAGTTCCATCACTGGTCGGGGAACTAGGATCGCTTATGCTGCAGGGCATGGTCAAAAAATTTTAAACATAATAATAATTTTTAAAGTCATTTCTCTAAAGAGGAATAAAGAAATGAAATATAGTGTTTGCCTAGCAGGATCAACAATTTACAAAATAGTTTATGCTCTTTTGTTGCTCAGTCGCTCAGTTGTGTCCGACTCTGCAGCCCCGTGGACTGCAGCACGCCAGACCTCCCTGTCCATCACCATCTCCTGGAGCTTGCTCAAATTTATGTCCATTGAGTCGGTGATGCCATCCAACCATATCATCCTTTGTTGTCCCCTTCTCCTCCTGCCCTCAATCTTGCCCAGCACCAGGGTCTTTTCTAATGAGTCAGTTCTTCGCATCAGGTGGCCAAAGTTTTGGAGCTTCAGCCTCAGCATCAGTACCTCCAATAAATATTCAGGACTGATTTCCTTTAGGATGGACTGGTTGGATCTCCTTGCAGTCCAAGGGACTCTCAAGAGTCTTCTCCAACACCACAATTCAAAAGCATCAATTCTTTGGTGCTCAGCCTTCTTTATGGTCCAGCTCTCACATCCATACATGACCACTGGAAAAACCATAGCTTTGACTATCAACAGTTTACAAAATAGTTTATGCTATAAACAGTAAGGATATTAAAAAACAGATATCAGAGAGCTATTTACCAAGCCAGTCTCTTCTGCAGCCAGGACACACGGCTGATCTTCTTTCCCCGGGATGGTGCCATGTCAGAGTTCAGGCCAGTGGAATGTGGGGGTCATGAGAAACATCTCCTCCAGGCCTGTCCTAGAAAGCTCCCCTCCTTATTCCCTCATCTGCCACCAAACTCCAAGATCCAGGAGAATCCTAAGGCTCTATCAGATGCTTCAGTGGTAAAGCCTGGGTGCCTAAATGACTGCATGAAGTTGGGAGGGTTTCAAGGACAGGGTGCTGGGAGTGACCTGCTCCAGGGCAAAGGAACATTGAACAGTTACTGAACCTATACCTATATCTCTTCAAGGAGGTGTACTTTACGTGATTTAGAAAAGTAGGTTCCAGGGCAGGTTCACTTCTACCCATCACTTTCAAATGCTCCACAGGCACAGAATCTCTGTATGCCCACACCAAGGGCAAATACTCCCACTGCCCAACCTTAGCACCCACTGGGTTCTGAGGAGCATCCAGTTGTCTGTTAGTGTCCAGTCAAGAAATAGAAAACCTTCTAGGCATATTGAGCAGAGAAAATTTCATACAGGAGTTCATAATGAAGGTGAAAGTCTGGAAGAGGAATAAGGGAGCATAAAGGATCCACAAGGATTGATAATTACAGAAGATGATACTGCCTCTCAAACTGGAGTTGAAAACTAAAAGGTCTTGCCCATCCCGTGGGGGCAGGTGTTGTCAAAACCGAGCTACCTGAGCAGGAACCAAAGGACCAAGGACCAAGACATGAAGCCACCGCTGCAAACACTGCCACGGCTGTGCTGTGGGTCTGCTCTACCCACTGCTGCCACAGCTGCTGCCAGAGGCGACGTCAGAAGCTCAGAACACACGACTCCTGCCCCCAACCCCCTTCCGATCTTCATCAGTGTCCTTCACTGGAGAGCCTAACAAGAAGGCGGCTGGCAAGAGAGCCTGGGATGTGTCGCACACGGGTCTTCAGTTCTGGCAGAGGAGAGATGGGTAGGAAAAAGGAACTAACCCAGCAAGTAAATAAATAGAGACCCTACCAGGCACACAGTGATTGCAATCTACAGAGTCTTGGTCTTATCTTTGATACAGTGAAGGCAAACATCTGACCTGTAACAGAATTAACAGCTTGTAAGTTTTTGCCCATGACATGACAAAAGACTTAATTAGCATAGTGAGTGTATCAACTAACCAGCACATACGCTTAAAATTCCTGTAAGATCTTTTTTTAAATTTTTAATTATTTATTCATTTAGTTTCCTTTGCACTGGTCTTCGCTGCTGCACACGGGCTTGCTCTAGTTGTGGTGAGCGGGGCTACTCTTCATTGTGGTGCGTGGCCTTCTCATTGCAGCGGCTCCTCTGGTTGCAGAGTGCAGGCTCTAGGGCACGCGGGTTTCGGTCGTTGCAGTACTCAGGCTCAGCGGTTGTGGCACAGGGACTCAGTCACTCCACAGCATGTGGGATCTTCCTGGACCAGGGACTGAACTTGTGTTCCCTGCATTCACAGGTGGATTCTTATCCATTGAGCCACCAGGGAAGCCCCTGTAAGCTTTTATGTCTTTTGTCCTACACCCAAAAAGTAGCCCTGGAGAAGGACATGGCACCCCACTCCAGTACTCTTGCCTGGAAAATCCCCTGGACGGAGAAGCCCAGTAGGCTACAGTCCATGGGGTCGCGAAGAGTCGGACACAACTGAGCGACTTCACTTTTACTTTTCTCTTTCATGCACTGGAGAAAGAAATGGCAACCCACTCCAGCATTCTTGCCTGGAGAATCCCAGGGGCAGAGGAGCCTGGTGGGCTTCCGTCTATGGGATCGCACAGAGTCGGACACGACTGAAGCGACTTAGCCGCAGCAGCAGCAAAAAGCAGCAAATCTACAGTGAGAGGGATTTGGGGAAAGAAGTGAAGGCTACATGTATGTAAGTGTTAGATGGTAATGGAGATGAATGAGGGCCAAGAAACAAGAAACAAAAAACTTTCATTGTCCCCTCCACTACAAAAGACTGCAGGGAACACAAAGTCCTTCCAGCGATCAAAGTCAACAGCCTTGGGGATCCTACAGTGACTGTGGGCTCAACAGTTCCCTGTTCTTGAGATTGTTTGGCTTCCTCCTCCACACTGTTCTTTCAGAATTCATTTTTTTTTTAAATGTACATTCAACATGTCATGAATGCCATAGCATCATTCCTTTTTTTTCTCAAGGGGAAAGATGGGGAAAAACTGCTAATTTCATCATCATAAATGGCAACTGTGTTTGCAGAGGACTCAAACTCCCCTATTTGGAAGGAACCTGTGATGGGGTTGTGAGTTGCTGACCCCAGAGGTCTCCTGCACCTGTGGGGCTGACCTACAATGCCAAGCATGTACCTCAAGGACCCTGCAGCTCACCTTACCGACTGCAGGAGGGGCAGGGAGAGTCTTTAGCACCTGGCTCCACTCCTGCAAGGCAGCTTGCCCTCTGGAATTGCTTCAGGTGACATCCGATCCCCAGGAAGAACAGACGTATTTGAACAGTGCCTCACCTTGGTCTGGTAATCCTGACTCCTGCAGAAAACAACTTAGAATGGAGGGAGAGTCCTTGACATTCAAGTGGCCTCTACTTAGTAGAGGAAACTTCTGGAACTCTGCCTGGAAATCAACAGCCCTTGACAGTTTCATTATGCAATGCTCCTCAGATCTTTCTAAAAGCAGCCTACATGTTCTTGACCTGGGAGAGTTTGCAGCCACACAAGATCTGCTTATTGTAGTTTCTTCAACACTTACATTGTCCCTAGTTTTGTGCATGTACAGCCATGCTACAGCTCTGGAGTAGATGGAATATATGGGTATAATTTCATATTTGAAGCTGGGCATGTCTGTTGGAGTTTTCAGCTCATATATTGAAAGCTTGGGACTGAGTCTTTGTGAGAAGTCTGCAAAAGAGTAAAGTAAATCAAGTCATGCATCAACAGTAAGTGCATCTGGTATATATCTATATAATGGAATTATACTCAGCCATAGAAAAGAAGGAACTTTTGCCATCTGCAACTCCATGTATGGACTTGGAGGGCATTATGCTAAGTGAAAAGTCAGACAGAGAAATTCAAATACTGTATGATATCACTTATATGTGGAATCTAAAAAATACAAAGAAACAAATTAGTGAATATAACAAAAAAGAAATATTCACTGGTATAGAAAACAGGCTAGTGGTTACCAATGAGGAGAGGGAAAGCAGGAGGGGCAATGGAGGGGAAGGGGATTAACGGGCACAAATTACTAGGCATAAAATAAGCTACAAGGGATATATTGTACAGCACAGTGAATATAGCCAAAATATTATAATAACTATAAATGGGATAAAACTTTTAAAAATTGTGAATCACTATATTGTATACCTGCAACTTAAAAAATATTGTACATCAACTATATTTCAATTTTTAAAAAAATGTGTCTGGGTAATGGTATGCCAGTATTCTACTATACATATCAGTACAATGTTTCTGCATGTTTGAAGCTAATTCCAAATGCAAAATGTATTGTAATGAACACAGCTTCTGCCTTCTCAGGAAAGGAGGTCTTAGGCCATCCAAAGAGTGTACTTACTTGACATCCCTGGGTCGTGGGGGTACCCCACTGATGCTTCATGGTGTATGAAGTCAATTTACAAGTGGATGAATGGTCCCCAAAGTCTAGGTTGTGTCTCAGCTGAAACCTGGCTGGATACCCAGCACTGTGAATAGCACGAGTAGCTCAGTGCACACAGTAAGTGTTACAGGGAATTCAGGAGCAAATCAAGCATTTCTAATATCTTCTATCTCCTTCTGCCTAGGGGATAACACAGACAAGAGATTTAGACATCACAGGACCATCACTTCATGGCAGGAGTTGATGAACAAGGAGACAGCAACAATCTCTGATGCCCCGTGGCCTTTCCCACATCACATACCTCCATCTGCAGCTCACAGCCGTGGCCCAAACTCTGAGCTGCTTTAGGCATAGGAGAGCGGTGGGCAGGTGGTTTGTGGGAGTAGTAAGGAGTGACTACATCACTCACATGTTTCCCTGGGGAGCCTCAGGGCATACACCTCATAGGTTCCACAATGCAGAAACGCAAGGGAAGAAGGAATAAAATGGCTTCAAGGAGTTTGTAAGACAAGTTGCATTGGCAATTTAGGGACCAGCAAAGATGTTTACAGCTTTGGACAAAGACCAGATATTTATTTTAAGTGTTGATACTTTTAAATTTATGAAGTAAAATGGTATTGATAAATATATCTCTTCATGAGCTGAATGAGGACTCTTTTTTATTTTATATATGCATAGATATTGTGAAAAAGGAAAACAAAGTGGAGTCACTCAGTTGTCTGACTCTTTGCGACCCCATGGACTGTAGCCTGACAGGTTCCTCCGTCCATGGAATTTTCCAGGCAAGAATACTGGAGTGGGTTGCCATTTCCTTCCCCAAAGGGATCTTCCCAATGCAGGAATTGAACCTGGGTCTCCTGCATTGCAGGCAGACTCTACTGTCTATTGCTAAAGTGAGGTACTTTTATTCATGTATTTCATCTTCATGGATGTAAACTCTGAAAACACTTGTCACGTGATTTGCAGTTGTAGAATGAACTATTTTTGTAATAGCAATGCCGTTTAAATCTTTCAGTCATTCTGAACTACAGTCTACAAATGGTGTGGTAATTTATCACTCAAAATGATTTTTAATAATTTTATCAGTCACAGCTAAAGTAACTCCTTTTTGGATTTTATTAAGGCAAAGAAGTAGAAATCACTTGATAGAGACAATTTTTCCTTGGAGAAGGAAATAGCAATCCATTCCATTATTTTTGCCTGGGAAATCCCATGGACGGAGGTGCCTGGCAGGCTACAGCCCAAAGGGTTGCAAAGAGTCCGACACTATTTAGCAGCTAAATAACAGCAGCACTTTGTTATGTTGTGATGTATTTCATTTTTGTTTCCCTACTGTAGTATAGTGTCAGGAATATTAAGTGTTATTATTGTTATTTTGGCAAGTGATATTTGAATTGGAGATCTGGAGATCTGGACTTCTAGAGTCCTGATTTATGTTACCAGCACTTTTACTAGAGAAGAGTCCAATGAATAATTTTGAAGTTTCTCTCTCTTCTCTCTCTGTAGCATTTATTAAGCCAAATTCCAACACAATTATTCAAATAATCCAATAAAAGTTATATTGGCATTAAAAAAATTTTTTTGCTCTGTATCACCAAATAAGACTTTAAACTGTTTCTTTGAGGTCTAGGAATTTCTAAAGTCAGGGTCAAGGCTCCGTGTTAAGATTCTGGTGGATGATGCAGAGACCTACTGTCTTTGGTAAGTTGGAACAAGAGGGATTGTGAAAGGGGAGGTGGGACGTATATTCATCAGTTTCAAGATGTGGAATTAAAAAGAAAAAAAAGCACAATATGAGAGTTGTGAGTTAAGTTTTATTTGGAGCAAAATGAGGACTATCAGCCAGGAGACAGCCCCTCAGGGAGCTCTGAGACATTGCTCCAAAAAGGCAGGTAGGGGAAGGTAAGTGTACTTATAATTTTGGTGAAGGAGGCATACATGCAATCAAGCACATACTTTTTCAGAAGGTTTCTGCTAGTCATAAAGAGCAGTCGTCACCATGAAGGATTTTGGTGCATTTCTAGATATGCGGAGATACAAGAATTGGGCTCACAAAATCAGCTCCTGAAAGCATCTAACTATCTGAAGACTGCCAGTTCCCCCTCCCCACAACCCCAAGCACAGAATGCCTCGTTTCTGCTCTCCACCCTGAACTCTTTTTAGGGGATGTTTAAAATCATAACCTGCAGCAGCATGCGACTTAATCCTTGTAAAGTTAGATGGCAAGTGCCAATGGAAAGTGCCAATTTGTAGTTGGCAAAGACCTAGAGAATCCCTGGGATTTCAATCTCAGCCAAAAGGATGTGACTGCCCAGAATATTCTGCTAAGGGCTTGAGTCCCTGTTTGTCTTGGGATAAATAATCTTTCTCCACCTACCACTTCCTATAACCTTCCTTCCTGCTTTAGGCATAGTCAGTATTACGGATAGTAATAGTCAGTAATACTCAGTATTAACAATATTAAAACCACAGTGACAGGTACTTAGAACTGGCCATAAAACAGTAAATAAAAGTGATTGAAAAGTAATGGCCTCTTCTTTACTGAGAGAAGTCTCAATGGAACCAGAGACAAATTCTGAAGCACTTTGTTCGCATTTAGGATAAATAAACATTCTTCACTGGCAGAGTCAAGTAAAGTCACCTTGACACTGGACTTTGGAAATGAGCCGATTTATTTTGTTTCACTTAGTATTTATATTCTTTATCCCCTTTGTTATGTAAGTGTCATAGCTGATATTTACCACCAGATACTGTGATGGACATTTTTCCCCTATTAATTTATTTATCTTAAAACAAATCCCATGAGGTAAGCAATATTTTATTGCCTTATTTTACAGATGGGGAAACTGAGGCTGGGAGGGTCAGCACCTTGCTGGTGTCCCCACAAGTAGAAAGTGCCAGAGCTGGACTTGAACCCAATAAAACAGTAAATAAAAGTGATTGAAAAGTAATGGCCTCTTCTTTACTGAGAGAAGTCTCAATGGAACCAGAGACAAATTCTGAAGCACTTTGTTCGCATTTAGGATAAATAAACATTCTTCACTGGCAGAGTCAAGTAAGGTCACCTTGACAATGGACTTTGGAAATGAGCCGATTTATTTTGTTTCACTTAGTATTTATATTCTTTATCCCCTTTGTTATGTAAGTGTCATAGCTGATATTTACCACCAGATACTGTGATGGACATTTTTCCCCTATTAATTTATTTATCTTAAAACAAATCCCATGAGGTAAGCAATATTTTATTGCCTTATTTTACAGATGGGGAAACTGAGGCTGGGAGGGTCAGCACCTTGCTGGTGTCCCCACAAGTAGAAAGTGCCAGAGCTGGACTTGAACCCAGGGAGTCTGGGACCAAAATCAGGCCCCTCTTCTCAACTTAGCAAGTGAGTCCATGCTAATTTTGAGACATTCAAACAGCACTTTAGAACTCAAAACCAACCCACAACTATCCTGTTAAGATTCTAATGGGGGCTGCATTGAATTTGTAGAGTAATTTGAAAGCAGTTGACATCATTAGATGTTTTCTCATTTCCTTGAAAACAAGGTTGGTATTTACTAGGTCCTTTTTGGGCCACAACTAGAAACAAAACTATGAAATTAAAAAGCTCACCAGAAAAAACAAACATACAGGAAAAGTAGGAAACTGTCCACATACAAAGCTAGGAGGGAGAGCAAAAGACAAAAGAAGTAAAGTCATCTCTATCCACAAGAAGTAGTCAAGGGATACACAGTTAGATGTGAAATATGATGTCACATAAAGTAATTATAGGGAATTCCCTGGTGGTCGAGTGGTTAGGACTCCGTTCTTTCACTTGCTATAGGCCCAGGTTCAATTCCAGGTCAGGGAACTAAGATCCCACATGCTGTGTGCAACCAAAAAAAAACGAAAACAAAACAGTAATTGCAATGGGAGGGGAGTACAAATCCAGGGCTTTTAAAAGATCAGCTACTTAAAATAGTCATATATAAATATGTACAATACACACACATATAAAAAAATATCTATTTAGACTACTATGCAAAACCTTATGGTAGACCCTCTTTCATCCAGAAGTAGAGTTTCATGATGTTATCTTTAAAGGTCTGCTTATTTCCAATTAAATATAGTTCAGCATATTTCTGTTGTTGCTATCATTACCTTTGTCCATTTATCATTATTTCCATTATGCTCTATACCCATAGCAGTTGGCTTATCAATTGTGTTTGAAGTTTGTATCCTGATCTTGACCTTGTATTCAGCTAATTTGATGAATTCTCGTGAATTCTAATAGTGTTTTCAATAGGATGTCTTTAATTCCCTGATAGTTTTGATCAGTCGTGTGTAAGGGGTGACAGATTCCTTGATTTTTCTTTTCCCATGGATTTTTCCCCCCTTGTTTGAAGAGAGTATTTTAACAACATATGTCCCTCCTTTTTTTTTTTTTTAAAGTAGACTTTATTTTTTGGAGCAGTTTTAGGTCCACAGCAAAATTGAGAAACAAGTTTCAATATAGTCCTTGCCTCTACACAGGTACAGCCTCTCCCACTATCAATAGCTCTCTCAGATGGTTCAGCTGTTCCGATGATGAATCTACATTTGTAGTGTGTGTGTGTGTGTGTGTGTGTGTGCGCTCAGTCACACATCTGACTCTGTGCAACCCCTTGGACTGTAGCCCACCAGGCTCCTCTGTCCATGGAATTTTCCAGACAAGAATACTGCAGCGGGTTGCCATTTGTAAAAGGAAAGATTAAACCTGACTCTATACTGGACCTGCATCTGTTACTTTAATCTTTGTATTCTGTTGCTTTCGCTACAAGTTAGTCATAAAGGGATATTGCCTACAAGCTTAAATTATACAGAACGGCCCATCTCTGGGAATACAGCCTCCCATGTCAGGAGAATTAAGCTAAAATACCTTTCATTGTTAGAGCAGGATTGACATATATACACCATCAAGTGTAAAATAGATAGTTAGTGGGAAGCTGCTATGTAGCGTAGGGAGCTCACCTCCACGTTCTGTGATGACTGGGAAAATCCCATGGACGGAGGGTCCTGGTAGGCTACAGTCCACGGAGTCACAGAGAGTGGGACACGACGGAGCAACCTCACTTTCACTTTTCCCTCTCAGAGCGCTGGGATGGCGGTGGGCGGGAGGGAGGCTTCAGAGGGAGGGATTCATGCATACACACAGCTGATTCACCTTGTACAGCAGAAACTATCATGTAAAGCAATTATACTCCAATAAAGAAAAATAAAAGCTAAAATACCTTTGTTTAGCTCCCAAGAAACCTCCTGACAAAGCCCACCTGTGAATGGCTACAGGAAAGAAGAAATTAACCCATCCCCTTTGCAGTCTGACCGGAACCGGGAAATGCTCGCCTTTTCCACCCCGCTCTCAGCGTTAGTGTAAAAGAAGCCTGTATTCTAACTCAGGGAAGATGCTTCTTTGGGGCAGTAGCTCACCATCTTCTCAGTCTGCTGGTTTTCCAAGTAAAGTCACCATGCCTTGTCCCAGCAACTCCTCTCTCAATTTATTGGCCTGTCATACAGCGAGCAGTATTGGTAGTCAGGGGTCAATTCCAAAAGGATGGGAAAACTGATAAAGGAAAGCAACCCTGAATATTCACTGCAAGTACGGATGCTAAAGCTCCGATACTTTGGCTACCTAATGCAAAGAGCTGACTCATTGGAAAAGACACTGATGCAGGGAAAAATTGAAAGCAAAAAGAGAAGAGGCTGGCAGAAGATGAGATGGTTAGATAGCATCACTGACTCAATGGATATGAATTTGAGCAAACTCCAGGAGATAGTGGAGGACAGAGGAGCCTGGCACGCTGCAGTCCACGGGGTCACAAAGACTCAGAAACGACTTAGCTACTGAACAACAACATGGTGTTAAAGTTTGTTCTAATTTCATTTTTTACATGTAATTGTCCAGTTTCCCCAGCACCATTNGATGGGATGGGCAGGGGGGTGGGAGGGGGGTTCAGGATGGGGAACACATGTACACCCATGGCTGATTCATGTCAGTACGGCAAAAACCACTACAATATTGTAAGGTAATTAGCTTTCAATTAAAATAAATAAATAAATTTTTAAAAAAGAGGGCAGGAAACAAGAACATGCTTTTGGAACAACACACAAAAAAAGAATATAAAATTTTGCTTGATTAGCATATGTTAATGAAAAAAAATTCAGTGTTATCTCACAGAAGATATCTCAAATAAGACTGCATATCTAGCTCCAAAATAAGATAATACATTAACAATTTGCAACTTATACTTTTTTATCAAAACAATGTATGATACATAATGATATCATCCTTCTATTTTGGGAATGAAGAGTGGGCTCTGTAACTTCATTTATATCCATATACTTTGTATATTCTTTAATAGCTTTAAAAAGTCCAAACAATTTGTTCTTTGCTATGTTTCCATAATAAAGGTAAACAGTTCTCGAAAAAAAGAGAGAGTTCTAACTCCCTACCTGGGACCCTGAATCTACAGACTCAGAGACCATGGGCTGGGTTTATTTCTCCATCTATTTCAGACACAGGAAGTGAACCCAGGTTTCCTTCCTAGTTCTAAAAACTGGTGATTATATGGTTTTCACTGGTGCTCTAAACCAGGAACTGTTGACAATCTATGACTCATTTGACAGAGAGGACAAGAAAATAGTGGTCAGTGTTTATTGAGAGTTGAGTTTGTGTCAGACCCTGGTAAATGTTACACTCACACACATATATATACCCATGCACTTACTCATCAAATAAAACCTATGATGTGGCAGTTTTATTAGCCGCCTTTCACAAACAAGAAAATTGCATTAAATTATATAAACAGAGTAATCATCCTAAGATCTGAGACCCTAAGATCTTAGAGTGCAGACTATCTGAACCCCAATCTCCGTGATCCTCACCACCGCGCCACCGGCTCCTTGGTGATGGAAGCAGAGCTAGTGAACGGGTCTCCCCAACCATCCTATGGGATTAACGGAGTACCACAGGTGCCTCCAGTTGGGATTTATCCAAACCCTGCTAATGTGCTCACTGATAACACAGCTCATAAATGTGCCCCTCATTAGTTAAGGATTTTCTTATTGGTTCTCTGTCCTGTTGCCCCCACAGAGTCACTGGTGGGGTTTAAATATTTACAAGGCTCTGGAATTTATCTCAAATCTACTGAGTCAAAATCTCCTGAGAGGGGAGCATGAGGAATTTTTTAAAAGCTCCCACGTGATTTGATTGCATGAGTGAGTCGGCAAACCTCTGGCCAGAACTCTCAAATAGACTTTAATTTCAGGGGATAAATTGTGGTTTTAAAAAAGCATCTCACTGACACAGGGCAGTGTTAACAAAGACAGATGAAGAATGCTGTTCACCACCCAGTCCCACAAGGATTAAGTTGTGGCCCAGTTCATTGCAGCATATTCACAGTAGCCAAGATATGTGAACAACCTAAGTGCCCACCAGTGGACGACTGGATAAAGAAGATGAGGTATGTGTGCGTATATATATATAAAACACAGACTATCACCCAGCCATGAGAAAGGACATCCTGCCATTTGTGACAACATAGACGGACCTTGAGGACATTATGCTAAGTGAGGTAAGTCAGACAGAGAAAGACAAACACTATATGATATCCTCATATGTTAAACCTAAAAAAGCCAAACTTGTAGAATCAGAAAGTAAATGGTGGCTAGCAGGGGATGGTGTTTAACGGTATAACACAGACCTCGTTTAAATATACAAACCTGCAACAAGTTAGGTAAATAAGTCCTAGTGAACTAAGGCACAGTATAGGGAATACAGACAACAATGTTGTATTATAATATTGCTAAGAGACTAGAACATACCCATTCCAACAACTAAAAAGAAATAAGGGCTTTCCTGCCGGCTCAGTGGTAAAGAATCTGCCTGCCAGTGCAGGAGACATGGATTCAAGCCTTGATTCAGAAAGATCCCACACGCCTGCAGGGCAATTAAGCCCGGGCACCATAACTACTGATTCTGTGCTCTAGAGCCCAGGAACCACAACTGCCGGGCAGTTCCAGAGCCCGTGCTCCACAAGACAGACGCCGCAACGAGAAGCTCGTGCCCTGCAACTAGACAGAGGCCCCTGCTGGCTGCAACTAGAGAAAAGCCCATGCAAAAACAAAGACCCAACATAGCCAAAACTATATAAATAAATAAAAATAAACATTTAAAAAAAGAAAAAAAGGGTAATTATGTGATGTGACAGATGTGCTAATTCTTAGTATCCTGGCTATCATGTTACAATATATAAATGCATCAAATTAACCTGTTATACACCTTAAATTTACATAATATTGGGAAGATCCCCTGGAGGAGGACATGGCAACCCAGTCCAGTATTCTCTGAGAAAATTCCATGGACAGAGGAGGCTGGGGGGCTCTGGTATACAGGGTCAGAAAAAGTCCGACAAGACTGAAGCAGCTGAGCATACACAGACACAAATATATGTCAATATGTTGCATTTTTTCAATAAAAATAATAAATTTCTAAGATAAAAAATGAATAATATTATTTTTCTTTTGATTTTTTTTCAATCATATAAAAGCATAAAATCCATTCTTAGCTTTCAGGCCATGCAAAAACAAGTGTAGGGCCAGATTTGACCCATGGGCCATAGTTTCCTAACTCACAAAAAGCCCCCATCCCAGATGGACTTACTAAGTGATTTTCACTAACCTGCAAGGATCAGATAATGTCTATGACATTTAAACTGTTTTTGAGCATAGGTCAAACTAATGAACATTTACAGAGCATTCAATATGTCAAGAAATGTATTAAGCTCACTATATCCACTATTTAAACAGCTCCAAAGAGCATGCTTCCCATGTTCCAGATGAGTAAACTGAGGTTCAGAGAGGTTAACTTGCCAAAGATCACAAAGCTAGGGAATGAAAGAATTGGTTTTTGAGCCTGGATCTCCTGTCTCCAGAATCCATACTGTTGTTTGTGAGAGTGTTGAATAATTACATCCCTTTGTGATTTATTCTGAGCTCTGAATCAAATGAAAAATATCCACAGGCGTAAAATATCAATAGCTGTCCAAAGATCAGCTCCAGATACCAGGGAAGCAAAAAAAAAAAAAAAAATATCAGCTCCAGAAAGCTGAATTCAAGGGCAAAATGAACTTTCCCAAGCATAACTGAATAGCTACTGTCTTCTGGCTCCATCCCCTGGCCTGCCCCAGTGAGCTTAAACACAAGGTGGGAGCAGAAAGTAAAAAGAAAACAATTGAAAAGAAGAGAAAGAAGACAAAGAAAAAATAAAACAAACAAAAAAAGACGGCAGAAGCAGAGCAGCAATGAACAAACAGGGAGAATTATTAACACCTACATTCCAGCGTGTTATTAGAACTGCAGACAATTATACCCCAGAATAGGCCTTCCCTGGTAACTCAGATGGTAAAGAATCTGCCTGCAATGTGGGAGACCCAGGTTCGATCCCTGCCTGGAGAAGGTCCCCTGGAGAAGGAAATGGCAACCCACTTCGATATTCTTGTCTGCAGAATTGCACGGATAGAGGAGCCTGGTGGTTTACAGTCCGACTCTTGCACAGAGTTGGACAAGACTGGGCAGTTAACATACACACACGCACAGCCCAGGATCACCTCCAAGCGAAGGAACGAGTAGAGATGAGAAAAGAACCTGCAGGCAGGCTAGATCCTGAAGGAGCCAAGGAGGGGTGTGGCTCACAAACTCAACAATCCTTTGCCCAATTTCACAGCCAGTTCTCCCTGCGGGAGGATGCAGACCTCTCTCCTACAGATAGATGAAGAGTGGGGTTATGAGCAGCTCTACTCCCAACAATGTATGGACCACAAGGATCGTGGAAATTATGTTTACAGTTGCCAAGACCGTAAACAATCTAAATAACCGCCAACTGCTATACACGTGCTGATACAGAATAGGGTCCAAGATGCAGTACCGAGTGAGAAGAGGAGGTTAGGGAACTCTACGCAGGGCGTGATTTTATCCGTTATCAGAGTGGCTGCAGATGGAGGAGGCGCCCGCCAGTGGCCAGCATTTATAATCG